AGCACTGCTGTAGGAGGCTGCGGGGGTTAGGGAGGTGTGCGGGCTTTCATTCACTAACTTGCCAGCGCACATCAACTATGGAAAGCAAAGCAGCAGCAGCACTTCAGTCATGCCATCACCGAAACTAGGGAAAAACAAAACAAAACCCCAAAATGTGTGTAGGTTTAGATATGGCCCTCCAGAGCCAGGGCAGCGAAACGGCTGAGCCCTGAGAGCTGGGGTGCCTGCAGCCCAGCCACTGCCCCCCCAGCCCTGGCCAGCTGCAACCCGGCTGCTTTCCAGTCCAGACCCTTCTGCAGCCAGAAATGCAAAGACAACTTCTGAAATTCGAGGAACGACCCACGATGAACTTCCGCAAGGACCAGGAAAGGCGCTGGCCAGCCACCAAGTGTGGAAGTATCATGGAAGTGAGGGGAACAAGGAAGGAAACACCACTTCAAGTGGAGATCAAGTCGCTTTCTGCCTTATGGACCAGGCATTGCTCTTTCGTGCCGGGTATTCACAAGCATGATTGAATTCATGTGTTCCTTCCCTGCAGGACAGCATTTTTCATCATACAGCTCTGCTACAACAATACTTCAGACAGATCTTTACCTATGGGTAAGTACCGATCTGTTATTTCAACAACATCCTCACCAGGGCAAAATCCTGACACACACGCCCTGCCCCGAGGTGACTGAGAAACCTCCTGTGGTCTTCCCACAGACACGATTGTCACCCCACATGGAAGACCATGACAATTTCAGCCATCAAGACTTATACAAAGCAGCTGTGGCAACGAAGGCGGCGACGTCCCGGGGCTGGGTCCTCCAGCAGCCGTCAGTGGGGGGCTGCCACCCCTTCCCAGCCCAGCAGTGGCTGTGAACCCAGACCTTCCAGCTAACCTGCAGCAGATCTGATCTGTTCTAGCTAGACCAGAGCAGCTACCTTTTGAACAAAGCTATGATCAGCAGCAAGAAAGAGCCCAAAGCCTTCATTACATCAAAATCACTTTTTTCATGTTCCTGTTTTTAAATCTGGCTGCTAAGGTACACTACACTTCATTTTGCCCAATTCCCCCTCTGCAGAACGTCCACCAGAGAACTTCAACACTGAAAACAGAAGCCAGAAAGCATCACAGACAGACATCAGCAAAGGCAACACAACAGTAAATAAAATCCTCAGGAACATTTTGCAGTTGTACCGAAGATGTATTTGTGTGAAAGGGTCTTACTGCCTTTCACTGTTGGTAAATGAAGCAAACATTGCCTTAGAGAAGGCTGCTTCAAGTGGCAGTTATTGCAGAAACACTTTAAAATCTGGCTAGAGAGAAAATTCATGGAGCCTTGGTTCCCCTGAGCACCAGGAACATCTCCAGGCCCCCCTGCATGTGTCACACAGGGAGAGGGAGGCTGCAGAAACAATTTTAAAAGAATCACTCAAGTGCTGAGCGAGCCGGCCTAGATGTGCGAAGCAGCCCCTGAAATCCCACACCTCTGGATTTTATGTTCCTCTTGGTGTCCTGAACCCAAACCTTGTCCTCCAAGGGCTCATCCAGGGTCTTCAGCTAGTGGTGCCCCGGCGAAACCCACCGAGGCAGCATCCCACGTCCACAGGAACCTTGCAGAGCACCACGGCAGCTCCCGCACTGGGCAGTTATCAGCTACCAATTTTGGGGACATGCTGTAAGGCTTTGCCAGCTGCTGTTTCAGATCTAAAGTCCTCTGATGGATCTACCCACACAGTTCCCAATGCAGGAGGCCGTTGTCCAAGAAGGCACTGCGAGGAACACAAGTGTTTCCAAGGTTTGGTATATTCCCAGGGGATGCTAGCTGAACTTGGGAATAACTCAGGTGTCCATCTACTCAATTACCAGCTTCCCTAAATACCAGCTCCCATCTTTTCCTTCAAGAGTGACCCATTCTTTGCAAATCCAGCCTTCCATGGCTTATCTGATCACAGCACAAGACGTTTACCTGGAAACTCCACTTTGGATTGGTGCCACAAAATGAATTAAACTTCTCAGAGAAGTGAAAAAAATTTTCACTAACAATAAGGAACACTGATCATCAAACGAAAAGCGATTCTCTGGATTAAAGTTAACACTCATTTATTCAGGCTTTTGTGCTGGGTGCACAATTCAATGCAGTTCCGTATACACAGTATGCACATCCTAATAGCGTACAAAAAGGCAAGCAGCAACGGGTGCTTACACTGGAAATGTATGTACAGACATATTAAATTGGGAGTTTTACATTAGAAAATTAATCTGACACTATTAATGTATCATCAAGGCTATTAGAAATTGTGTAGAAAACCAATAAAACTTGGAAAGTATCTACTCTTATTTCACTTTACCCAGGCTGGTTATAGAGTCAGGCTTCCCACACTACCTCGTTTGTGGGCAAAGCCTACAAGATTCCCCCAAGCACTTTGAAGGGTCACATCACTGTTCACTCTAGCACGTCCCATTACACGTTAAAGATTATCATATTTCCTGTTTTTCTGGGAAGAACAACAGCTTAAATACTTCAAAAAGCTAATTTTCTCCCGGGAAAAGACAATAAAGGAAAGATTTAGAGAGACCATGAGACAACCAAATGCTAACAAAATGTTGTAACAGTGCTTCCTGGTCCTTCCAAAAAACTCCTCATGGACCAGTCAGCACCTAAGTTAAAGCGCTGTAAACTGTCCAGATTTACTGAAGTGCAACAGCAGGCCTTGGCAGACCCCAGGTCTTCTGCTGATCTTTACCTTGTTCCTATCCTAAGGGCTGCAAGAGATCGTACTTTTGTAACCTGCACAAAAAGACACAGAGAGATCAAGTAGATTTAGCAAAAGGATACTAAACAAAAACAATAAATAGAAATATGCAGCAACATTGTAAGAGCCATACTTCACTCCCTGTAACTACTCTGAATTTAATTTCCAAGTGAATTTTGTTTCTAAGATGTCGGCAGAACAAGGGAGTATCAGAAAAAGAATTATTTAAGAAACACGTGGTTCTTGTGGCCAAGGCCCCCAAGGACGCCCAGAACTCAGCTTCATTGACTTTCAGCAGCTTGAAGAGCAGGTCCATCCCTCTAACTACTCTGCTATGCCAGAGTCAAATTCTTGCACATAACAGTACAGTTTTGATGACAAATTTTAGCATCATAAGGAACCTAACCTAAAATCCACCCAGGGAATGGTTTTAAAGGACTAATTTGCTAATGCAGACGACCCAAACCACAGCTGAGTGCGACACAGGTAAGACTGGGTTAAAACTGCTCCCAAAGGTGGCTGAAGCAATACGCCTTGTGCATAAGTACACCAAATACAGGACATATTTGTAGAACATTCAATCACAGCCGATATGATTTCATTTATTTTTTCAGCACAGCACACATCCCGATTGCTGTATAAGCTCTGGAGTTTAGTTTATTCGGTTTGTTGCCTTGCGTGAGCCTTTTGGAGAAAAGGTGAGGACAGCACAAAGAATCTCTCTCAAATTTATCTCTCTCCTAAAGTCTGAAGTTCTCTGGTGGAAATCTTCACAATGAGTCAAAATTTACTTGAGTGAAGATACATTGCAAAAATGTACATTTTCCATGTTGATTTTTATGAAAATTCAGTGTTGAAGTGGCTTAAAGAACGTTTTCCTTTTAGAGAATTACTTCCTTAAATATATTATATTATGACTAGACAAAAGAATAATCAGTATTTTAAATTCAGCCTTCCTATAGGGCAAACCTCTCATTGTTTTAGAGAAATACTTCAGCTGTAAGTATTAATAAATCAGAATTTTATACAAAAGGAATCAGGAAAAAGACTTAATTACCAGATTCTCTTTGTCATTCAATAAGCATAGGGAATGAGTTGCTATTCAAAAGTAGTAAGTCCTCAACAGCACTTTTTTACATTTACGAGCGCAGCTACAGCACATAACATGTAGGAACGTCACACCAAATTTTATACCACAGCCTGTTTCCCACACAAATAATTTTCTGGCACAGAAAGTCAGTGGGAACTTCCAGGGCTTGAGCATAACTAAATAAGACGTGTGGTTAAGATTTAGAACTACTAAAACCCGCTCTAGTGTTCTAAAAGTCTGACAGTAATTCCTGGCTAGGGGTGGGGAGGAGAAACAGGCTTCTGGGTGACAATGCAGACTGGGAAGGTACCACTGAAACCAGTGAAATGTGTCCTGGTACTAAGGGATCCCCAGAAACAACCCGCTTTTGCGGGAGCATAAAAACAGACATGCAGGTAAATAGATCCTATTTTGATAATTAGGACAAAACTGAACCTCTGCATCCTGTAATATTTTTAAAATAATTTTTTAAACACAGTTAGCTTTAAAAAAAAGTTTGATTTCTGAAACTGTTCAAGACCAAAGTTTAAATAAAAATAAGTAGCAACCTGTGTGTTTCACTTTAGTACAGCCATTACAAGGCCTGCTGCCACATGCTGTATTTAATCACATCCAGTTTAACCATGCTATATATGCTTTTTATATATATATGTGTGTGTACAATTTATCAAGCTCAGTTAAACACAAAGCAATTTATACGACCTTTCCATCAGAAAACAGTTTCATCCATTAAGCTGCAGATTGCAAAGCTTGTTGCAGTGTCATAAGCAAAGCACAGTTTTACTAAATCACTGGGGAAGAAAAAGGCATTTTTACTCTTAAATTGATAGAATAAGCCACAACAGAAGTAATTAAAGGAAACATGACTGAAGAAAGAAATACATGGGATTCTTCAGTGGTCTCTAAGGAATGCAGCAAATGACAACAAAGCCTGGGGAATTTCACCACAGTACTTTGCCACCATAAATTTAGCTTGAGAAAAAGTCTGCCTTGCCATAGGCGGCTACCTGCCTCTTGTTTTCACCCAGTAGTATAAGCAGTCACCTAATGCTGACTTCTGTTGGTAAGTCTTAAGGCTTAATTTTTTTTTTCCTCCCCATAATGTTTTTAAACTAGTAATTATGCAACATCTTCCTTCCCTGTCTTAATTTGCATTCAATAATACTGAAACAAAGTTATTTAATTGCACTAAAGCTCTCACTGATCTAAACTGAAATATATTCTTCAGATGAAACAAATAGCATGCCACACTAGCAAGGACAAACAAACAAACAAAAACCCCACAACAGCAATAGAGCAAGGTGAGAAGCAAGAACCAGTTCAAAGACTGGGAGGAACAGGTACGAAAAGGGCCACCCAAAGCATACAGAAGCCACCATCAAAAAGAAGGTTCTCCAGAATTTATTTTCACGGCCCTGGATTAAAATGAACAGAGACAGGTACAAGATCTTTTCACCCCACTGATTCTTAAAGTCAGGATGGGCTGAAGAGCCACTGGACACCCAATTCCTCAAAGGTATCTGCACTGACGCTACAGAGGAGTTCAGCTTTTACCAGGGTAAGACAAGGTTCGAAGCCAGGCAGGAATATAACCATAACTTTTTTAATAAGAATCCATAGGAAAAAGTCAACTATTTCATGGCTTGGGTTTTTGTTTGTTTGGGGTTTTTTTGTTTGTTGTTTTTCTTTTTTTTTTTTTTTTTTTTCCTTCTTCTTCTTCTTTTTAGTATTTTTACATCCAGGACAACTGTTGTGCAGAAAACCAAAGAAACCAAACCCACAGCACCATGCAATTGTGCCTGACTGCTTTGCTGTTTGAGCAGGCGTAACCATCCCATTCCAGTGCTTTCTGTTGTGTAGTCCAGACAGATGGATAAGCTACTCAATGAAGGCACAGGATTTCTCTCCCATGTGGTCCCTTGTGTGCGTGGCTAAGACTAGGCTCAAAGTTGAACCTCATGGGTATAACCAGTGATCCAGATCTTCCCTGGTTTAATGCATGTATTAACATACTTGTTTGCTGACATTTTCTGTTCTCCAGAATGCTACTAGAAATTATTAACTGGTCAATACAGTTATTTCTTCTATAAGGCAGCATATACTCTGAATCCCCGATAAGAGAACATGAAACCAAAATTAATCCAAAGATTATTCCAAGAAGTAGCAGTGTTAGTTCTAAATTTAAATACTATGAGAGAGAGGAAGAGCTGTGTTTTCAAATGGTATGGAGAAGTACAACTGCACTGAGCAACAAGATGGATGCCTGAAACACTGCAAGAGAAGAGATCCAAGAATTCAAGGTGTGAATTAAACTGAAGAAAAACTATCAAGGACAGGAAACACACAGCAGGAGTGTCAACTAATGATATGAAGATTTCTTATCATTTTTAGACATTTTTGATGTGTGAACAAGCTTGCTGTCCTGTCCCAAATCCCTAAACACTGAACCTCCTCACTCAAACATAAATTAATTTGTTCCCAGGAACAAAGGCGGCAGCAGGCTCGACTGGTCTGTGTGTTCTGCGTGTTACCTACACATTCTCAACTTACTTGGTTAAAAACCAAAGTGCAGTTGGCAGAAAAGGTTTCAAACTGAGCCCCAATGCAAATGAATCTCTTTCTGGCAATACAATGGCAATTACCATATTCATAGAGATTATTAATTAATCAGAAGTGCTCTTCAAATAAAAGTGTGACTATCTCAACTTATCAGTGTAATGTATTTTAAGAAAACATTTGACATAGTCATCAACCATCTACTAGAAGCTCAGTTTCATAGAATAACATTAAAGTTATTGATTAAGAAGTTAAATGCTGTATGAAGTTTAATGAAGAAATCAAAGGTGAATAAGAAGTGTGAAAGCTGAGGCGACAGGGCACCGTGGACTTGATACACGATCCCACAGAGTTCAGTGTACGTGGTCATGGAGTCTGTTATGTGATTACTGTCTCACATGGATACACATAGGTTTCATGTTGCTGGAACAAGCAGCGGGGCAGGTAGAACTGTGCATGGACACAACTCTTACCTTGTCAACACAGAAATGCCCTAAGGCAGAATTATCAGACAGCAGAGGATGTCTTCTGCTGACATTTAGCAAGTTATAATACAGAGGCCAGTCTGGGTATACGTGGCTTTAAGAAGTCCAAGATCTTTTGGTGCTGGGCAGCAGACTTTCTAAAAGCTTTCAGCTAAATATTCCGATAATGCAACTCCTCTTGTGTGAGTAAGGTAGTTTAAAACCATCCCCCCCCCCCAAAAAAAAAAAAAAAGGCAATGCAATTGTCCTACCTCTGAGCTTGATCTGTTTTCACCTGATCCACTTATCTAGAGCACGGGGTACATTAACTCTCACACATGCACATCACAAATACTTGCACCAACCAGACCGCCTCCTTTGATGTGCATTTCCATCTCCCCTCATTTCTTCTGCTGCCTAAAGCCTACTGCTGTGAACAGAAACACTCTGACACATTATTTACAAAAGCCGATATGAACACCTAATGGAATCCCAGCAATTCAAAATGCTCCATTTCCCTTTGCTAACTTTGTCTTTCCCTGAACTATGAGCTATGTGGGCATAATCTTTTCCTGAGTATCTAGAATATTACAGGCACTGCTGCAAATATCGTGGTTTCTTCTTGTGAAGAAATTTGATGGTTTGGGATTAGAGTTTTAGGAGGCTTTTTGGGCTTTGGTATGTCAGCAATTCTTCGCATGGAAGGGAGAAAAAGCAAAACATGTCAAAGCTTCTCTAACTGCACTCTAAAGGAGCAGTTTGTCAACTCAAAGTCTGCAGATAGTAAAGTGAACACAAGTGACAGACCCCATGAATCTCAACAAAGTCAGGTAACTGGCCTATGCCTATAGATCTGGGCTCAGCTCAGTGAAATGAAAAGTGCAATTCCCTCCAACAAATTGGCTGCTGAATTTGCTAAACAAATTACTGGTCACACATACTGACTCTGGATGCTGCAATAGTACGCTGAAAAGGAGTCCTCAACACAAGCCAATAAAGGGCCCAGTTAAGGATTCTAGCTCACCATGTCTGTTTGCTTGGGTTTTTTTTTCCCTTCTAGCCCTCTACCATTACTCTGCACCATTATGCCATTCCTTCCAGCACTAGGCTGCTCCTTGCTGCTGACTGGGTCCCCAAACTGGGAAAAGAGCCAGCCGTGTCAAACTGCCATGTTTGCAGCCCAACTGGTTGGGGAGGAAAGGAGCTGCGCTGGCCTGCTCGAGAGCAGAGCCCACAGTGGCCAGCCAGCACCATCTCCTAGCCACCCACCTGGCTGACCAACCTGCACAGCATTTTGGCTGGGAGGCAGGTACACTCAATCTCTAAGCACAAACGACAGAATATGCTCTCAGGGAGTCAAATTATCACACTTTGTATGCTGATCCATTGACACTTACTACATTTTCCAGGAAAATCTTATCACCCAGACAAGATACATTGTTACCTGTATGAGACAACTTTTATTAATAAAAGGGAGCTTTGCTCTTTTGTAAGGAAGCTTTCGATTTTCTTATTTGCTATTTTTACTCAGAAAGCACGTTTATGAACATTAGCATCAACCACCTCATCCAACTGGGATACATCATCTTTGTTAAAATCCCCGATTCTTATAACTAACCTGATGTCTTGGGGAGAACAACTTTTTAGATTATCCACATTGGAACAGACCATGGAAAATACTTACACAAAAGTTCCTTTTCATTTTAAGTAATCATTTTAATCTCTATATTTTCTTTAAAAAAACTATTAAGAAAACATACTTGAGGTACTTTCTGCTCAGAAGTTTAAAATACTTCATTTAGAACAAACCTTTTTCCTCAGAGGGGCTTATGCAGGTAACTTAAAACATGTCCCTCTGGGGCTGTTCAAGAAAGAGACAAAAGCATAATAACATTTTCCAAACTGGGTTTAAAAAGGCAGATATGAATTTTGTTCTGTTTTAGACAAAATAAACAGAGTATATGAGAAACATGTACTCAAAGAGTACAACCAATGGAAAAATGTAGGTTTTGATGTGCAGAGGGGACTAATTCAAGAAGACAGAATATCTTCTTTCATATCAAGGCATTCTGGGTGACTGCATTAGTCTGGCCTGTAAATAGTGGCCTATTTTGCACCCTTTTCTCTTCACCTCAAAAGCACTTTTTAAAAAAAAACAAAACACCACAAAACCAAAACAAACACTACCTTTCAAAGCACTTACCTCCCCTTTCAAGCACAACATTCTGAAGTTACATACGTATGCAGAAGCTCTCTAACAAGCGAGAAACCTCAAATCTAATGCTTCAAGCAGGAGGGGCTCCAAGAAAAGTATAAAACTAGAAATATGTGGTTAAACAGAACAACTAGAAATGTAGTTAAAAGTATTAAGCACACATTTTAATTCATCATAGCAATTCTGCCATATGGAGTAACAGAAAGGGTCATGTGCTTGTACCAAGTGCAAGGCCAAGCAAATACAAGATAAAATGGAATGTCACCTGAGAGCAGCTCTAATTTATGCAAGAGCTGCTCAGCAGATTAATACTAAATTGTTCCTGCCTCCTCCAAGTGTCTCAGGTGAAAAAGTTCATAAATATGCCATTATCTAAAACATATGGCCATGTATATATTTGACAGCACTGTCCACTATCATGTGCAGTATCAAAAATCACATCAAGGTTTCTCAATGCTTAAGACATTGATTTATTAAACTAAATTCTACTTAACCTGGGGCTAAACAATATGTAGGCAGTGATTGAAAGTTCCTACATCACCCATAGAGCTCTTAAGTGGCCAAATTACCTCCGTTCTCAAAAGAGCCAATTTGCTCTGATGATTCATATCCTGTTTGGATCAACAATCACCAGTGCTTCCTCCCAACTGTATGTGGTAATTTCTTAAGCACAGTATCATTCTCTAAGGACACAATTTTATTTATTTATTTATTTTATTATTTCATTTTGACCTGAGTATGAAATGAAACATGATCAAAATTTGTACATTGCTCTGGAAAAAGGCTACAACAGTGTGTTTAGTAAAGCTGTCAGAAATAAAGGGCATTAAATAACAACAATGGGCCTCACAGAAATTAACTGTATCTCTTTATTGTTAACCAATGAATGTTATCCAAAATAGTAGATGTAATTGTAGCTTAATTGTACAACACAAAACATGATGCTAAAGGAAAAAGCATGTGGAAAATTACTTCACCAAGTAATCATCAAATGTATTCTTAGTATTTCCACACCAGTAAGTGTTCCCAACTACTGGTGACAGCAGCTATTACCACTTTGTTCATTGTGAAAATCTGTATTACAAATGGTTGTTCCTGGTTGTTTAGGAAAAAAAAAAAAAAAATAATCACACAGCTTTATAAACGGATCTAATCCATTTAGCCCTACTCTATAGTATTGTAGATTTATGAACAGCAAACTTTACTGGTATTTTTTCCCAGCACTGAAATTGATGTATCAGGTGTTAGTGCACACTTTCCAGGGAATACGAAAACTCACTGGAAGCACAGTATTTCACCTGCTATAGCAAACTGTTTGAATACCTCGGAAATTTGCTCAAGCTTCGGTGTATGAAGCCTGTGAAACAAAAACTGTTCTTACAATGCACTGCAAGTAGAAACACTGACTTCTACTAAGCAGCATTTTGGAGTATGTGCACACCATCTGCACATCAGTCTTCAAGGTCAACAAGATATGTTTAGCCCCACAAACCAAAAATATATTAATGTATCTTTATTTTATTTTCATGATGTCACCCCACATAGCCAACCCTCACCTCCACAAAATAAAACTTAGTTGGACTGTTCATAAGAAATTTAAAACTATTGTGCATGAAAAAATGTTTAATAAAATGGCAAATTTTAATAGATAAGTGTAAATTTACGAGTGTGTAGTATCAAACAGAAAAGAGCTGAACCATCCTCAGAGAAAGCAGGGTTCTTCCACTGTAGATATTTACTAGGGTGCTATAACAGAAGGAGTAACTGCAGTCCACATTAACTGTAAAGGTATTTCTAAAGTTTAATTCCTAAGCAAATTTCTTAAAAAAGCAGGTCTCCTTTTCAAGAGGGAAAGGACTTGATAGGAATGATCTCACATCAGATATAACAATTACAAACTGAGCTTCACTGAAAACTGAAGCTACAAACACTTTTACTCCAATTCTGGGAACTTTCATTTTGTATTTGGAAACCCAAAACCAGACTGACACGCACATTCTACACCCCTCCCAGGAGACAATATACCAGTGACAGGTTACAGATTTAAAACACTCAAGATGCTTTTACAATTTAAACTCGACAAAAGGCAGTTAGGCAGTATTTAGCACTATAAATCCATCTTAAAGTAAAAATCCTAGGAGTAGGGGCTCCTAGCATTCCATGATATCACTGTGTAGTGATAGTCGCAATTTAAACAGGGTGGGTTTTTTTATGGTGTTTGAAGGACCAGTCATCATGTACATAGTAGTGAGGTAGGATACTGTCCCCTCCCTGGGACTGATGTTTTCATATGCTCCCTTGCCAGAAAGGTCCAGGTCTCCCTACTGCAAATAAAATAGTTACAAGCAAATAGCATATGAAGCTTTGCATTTTTTCCCTTTGCTGCATTAGAATATTTTGCACATCTAAAAGAATCACCTAGGAAAAGGAATACTTATTCAAGCCTATCAGCAGCCACGTGCTGCCCACAGGTAGTGTTCCATTTAAAAATATTTCCTGGAACTACCACCTGCCATCCAGACCTTTGTGAACAGGTAGGCAAAGAAAACCATCAATGATGACAGGACATGAAACACCAAAGAATTTCACTTGGGAGACAAAAAACAAAACTGAAAGTCAGCAATATCAAGCTCTTAATGGTGTAGCTACATTGAAAAAACATAATTTCAAACTTCATACTGAAAGAGTACTTATCCAGTTTAGGTTCAGTTCTGTTGTTCTTTGTTTCCTAACGTTTCAGCAATATATACATTTGTCAGTCATTTTATACTTCGCATCAGCTTCCAAAGGAAAAAAAAAAAGAAACCATGAAACTGAAAACATGATGGGGAAAAAACTGCTATCATTTTCCACACCCACCCCCTCAAAAGCTAGGGATGACAGACTGCCTTCCTGTTGAATAGTTTCCCCTAAATTTGTCTTTTAACCACTATAGTCAAACTGGTATTAAGTGCTTTGGCAAACTGGGGTGTAATCCATCAAATCTGCAAAGGCCTGCTTTTTTCTCTGTTGGTGGTTCAGCTTTATGAGGAACATATATGCAAAATAACAGCTCTCACATTGCTTCAAACTCATCAATACGCTGCTTTGTATTGCCTTGTCGGATTTGTCGAAGTGTCTTGTACTTATCACGGCCTGCTTTAACATTCTCAGCATGAAGAACATCATTTTGTGTTTTCTTGGTTTCATCTCTGGCTTGAGCCAACTCAGAACTTAAAGCCTGTTGAACAAAATATTTGTATTTAAGTGCTTTGACTAATCTTTGAATGATTCTGGAATTTCTGATAACAACTATTCTGCAACTTGGGTATGGATTTCTTGAATGCCAACCTAGGAAATGCTTCTTGTGCTGTTCAGTAACTCAAGTTGTGAGGTCTA